ATTCTGAATGCCCGGAACCAACTGTAGGCCATTTCGTGCTCTTCGACTTCCCAGAACTCCATTCCCGGGCCACATTTTGAATGCCCGGAGCCAACTGTAGGCCACTTCGTGGTCTTCGAGTCCCCAGAACTCCGCTCCCGGGCCACATTTTGAATGCCCGGAGCCCACTGTAGGCCACTTCGTGCTCTTCGAGTTCCCAGAACTCCATTCCCGGGCGACATTTTGAATGCCCGGAGCCAACTGTAGGCCACTTCGTGCTCTTCGATTTCCCAGAACTTCATTCCCGGGCCACATTTTGGATGCCTGGAGCCAACTGTAAGCTACTTCGTGCTCTTCAAGTTCCCAGAACTCCATTCCCGGGCCACATTTTGAATGCCCGGAGCCAACTGTAGGCCACTTCGTGGTCTTCTAATTCCCAAAACTCCATTCCTGGCTGAGGCTGAGGCAGGCTGAGGCTGAGGCTGAAGCAGGCTGATGCTGAGGCAGGCTGAGGCTGAGGCTGAGGCTGAAGCAGGCTGAGGCTGAGGCAGGCTGAGGCTGAGGCCGAGGCTGAAGGCAGACTGAGGCTGAGGGCTGAAGCAGGCTGAGGCTGAGGCTGAGGCAGGCTGAGGCTGAGGCAGGCTGAGGATGAGGCTGTGACTGCGACTGCCGTTGGCCCCGAACGCTGCCCACAGAGGCTCCGGGCGCTGCGCACAGAGGCCCCGGACGCAGCCCGCAGAGGCCCCAAACGCAGCCCACAGAGACCCCGAACGCTGCCCACAGAGGCCCCCAACGCTGCCGCACAGAGGCCCCAAACGCTGCCCAGGAGGCCCCGAACGGCTGCCACAAGCCCCAAACGCTGCCCACAGAGGCCCCGAACGCTGCCCACAGAGGCCCCAAACGCTGCCCACAGAGGACCCAAACGCTGCCCACAGAGGCCCCAAACGCTGCCCACAGAGGCCCCAAACGCTGCCCACAGAGGCCCCAAACGCTGCCCACAGAGGCCCCGAACGCTGCCCACAGAGGCCCCAAACGCTGCCCACAGAGGTCCCAAACACTGCCCACAGAGGCCCCAAACGCTGCCCACAGAGGCCCCAAACGCTGCCCACAGACGCCCCAAACGTTGCCCACTGAGGCCCCCAAACGCAGCCACACAGGCCCCAAACGCACCCCCCCACCCACAGAGGCCCCAAACGCTGCCCACAGAGGCCCCAAACGCTGCCCACAGAGGCCCCAAACGCTGCCCACAGAGGCCCCAAACGCTGCCCACAGAGGCCCCCAACGCTGCCCACAGAGGCCCCAAACGCTGCCCACAGAGGCCCCAAACGCTGCCCACAGAGGCCCCAAACGCTGCCCACAGAGGCCCCAAACGCTGCCCGCAGAGGCCCCAAACGCTGCCCACAGAGGCTCCGGGCGCTGCGCACAGAGGCCCCGGACGCAGCCCGCAGAGGCCCCAAACGCAGCCCACAGAGGCCCCAAACGCAGCCCACAGAGGCCCCAAACGCTGCCCACAGAGGCCCCAAACGCTGCCCACAGAGGCCCCGAACGCTGCCCACAGAGGCCCCAAGCGCTGCCCACAGAGGCCCCAAACGCTGCCCACAGAGGCCCCAAACGCAGCCCACAGATGCCCCAAACGCGGCCCACAGAGGCCCCAAACGCAGCCCACAGAGGCCCCAAACGCTGCCCACAGAGGCCCCAAACGCAGCCCACAGAGGCCCCAAACGCTGCCCACAGAGGCCCCAAACGCTGCCCACAGAGGCCCCAAACGCTGCCCACAGAGGCCCCGAACGCTGCCCACAGAGGCCCCAAACGTTGCCCACAGAGGCCCCAAACGCAGCCCACAGAGGCCCCAAACGCAGCCCACAGAGGCCCCAAACGCTGCGCACAGAGGCCCCCGAACGCTGCCAGAGAGGCCCAAACGCCCCAAACGCTCCCACAGAGGCCCCAAAACGCTGTCCACAGAGGCCCAAACGCTGCCCCACAGAGGCCCCGAAACGTCGGCCCACACGGCCCCAACCTCCCACAGAGGCCCCAAACGCTGCCCACAGAGGGCCCCAAACGCGCCCCACAAGTCCCCAAACGCTCACAGAGGCCCAAACGCTGCCTCCGAGTCCCCAAGACGCTGCCACAGAGGCCCCAAACGCTGCGCACAGAGCCCCAAACGCAGCCCACAGAGGCCCCAAACGCAGCCCACAGAGGCCCCAAACGCAGCCCACAGAGGCCCCAAACGCTGCCCACAGGGGCCCCAAACGCTGCCCACAGAGGCCCCGGACGCTGCCCACAGAGGCCCCAAACGCTGCCCAGAGAGGCCCCAAACGCTGCCCACAGAGGCCCCAAACGCTGCCCACAGAGGCCCCAAACGTTGCCCACAGAGGCCCCGAACGCAGCCCACAGAGGCCCCAAACGCTGCCCACAGAGGCCCCGAACGCTGCCCACAGAGGCCCCGAACGCTGCCCACAGAGGCCCCAAACGCTGCCCACAGGGGCTCCAAACGCTGCCCACAGAGGCCCCAAACGCTGCC